GCGGGGGAGCGAGAAAAAAAAATGGGAGAGACCATCGACGTTGGGCGGGATCAAGGGGAGGAAAAAGAGAATGAACTTTGGTAGCCCAAAATGGCTGAATCACAAGAAAAAAACGGAGGGGGGAAAAGGCGAATGAGCCGCCTTCGCGCGGTTCTGAGGAATCCGATTCTCCCCCCCCCATGGGTCTGCGGATGGACCCTCCCAGGACGCTGAAAAGGCTGGGGGGGCCCTGAAGTGCGCGGCCACCGCGATCGGCAGCAGCAGCAGCCTCCCCCTCCCTCCGCCTCTCCCTGTTCGACATGGCGTCACCTGTAAGCGGCCTAAAGGAAGCGGTTACTCATCCGGCAGGCAGCCCAGGCCCATCCGCCTCGCTCTTCCTGCTCTCCCCCCCCCACCGGGAAAATAATGGTATCGGCCGCAGGGAGCGGATCGGGCAGGAAGGACGAGACCAATCTGGAAAAGAGGGGGGGGGAAACGAGACGGCGGCCTCCAGGGCCACGTGGAAGGGGAAAGGCCGCGAGAAAGGAATGCGAACGAAGGCCTTCTTCGAAGCGTGAAAAGAAAGGCGGCTCTCATGGCGGGCGTCCATCCTGTCCCCCTCCCCGACTAAAGTGGTTGGGTAGAGGGGGGGGGGGGGTGAGAACGAAGGGGCGGGCGGGAACGCGCGCCGCTCGCTCCCGCGATGCCTTCCCTTGTCGCTCCCTCACTCACCGGCTCTCTTGACTCGCAGACATTCTGGGTGGAAAGTCTTAGCCCCGCCCGCCTCGCGCCACCTTATAACCGCAGTCTAGAGCCCGCCTACTGGCGCCCTGCCCATTGGTCGGCTTCCTTGCTCCCGCCTTCCTCCTCCGCTCTTTTGATTGGCCCGCATACCCCCTTTTCTCCCCCCCTTCTCTTCTCCTTCCACCCCACCCTCAACGGACCGGCTTCCATCCCATTGGGCTTCCCTAGGCGTCACGGTGACGTCACCCGCAAGGACGGCGGTGATTGGGCGGGAGCTTCCAACGGTTGGGCGGGCGGAGGGCGTGACGCAAGAACGCCAAGGGAGGGACGGGAGGGCGCTATGATGACGTAGTGGGGACGCCGGCAACTCATTGGGCAGCCGGCGGATCAATTGGGCGTGGGCTCAGCCAATGAAGCGGCGGGCCTTAGAGGAAGGGTGAGAAAAGCCCACGTGGTGGGGCCTCCATTGTACGGGGGGGG